ATGTATTTTTAAGATTTGAAAAGGGCACGAGGGAAAGCAAGGAAAAAGAGTTAGAGGCTGATAGAATAGATTCAGTGACAGAGGAAGATGGTCTGAACCAAAGAAATGCAGAATAACGGACAGGTAAGACAGGCATTTAGAAAGTGAAATGGCCAGCACCTGGTAACTAAGTGGGCAGAAGAGCCAAGAGACGAGCCAAATATAGAGACTAGCATTCTGGCCCGTGCTAATAGATGGACGGAGCCAGGAATGGAAGGGTGAAAGCTGGCTTTGTGGGAAAGACATGTTAGTTTAAACTCACAGTGGGACATGTGAGTGAGGATGTCTGGCAGATGGAGCTATGTGGTCATAAGCTTCCATATAGCTAAAGAGGAACAGAGTGAGAAGCAGACCCAGGCATCACCAACATGTGAGGTGCTAGTGGAAGTAGGAGAATGGAAAAAGAAGATTAGGAAGAAGTAGTCACAAAAGCAGGAAGAAAACCAGGAGAGGATGGCATCATGTACACCAAAAAATGAGAGCATGTCAAGAAGGTGGTCAGTGTCAAAAGTTGCTAAGGGGTCAATGAAACAAGGACTTAACCCAAGGTAGTTTCTGGCAACTGCGGCAAAAGCAGAGGCAGCGGAGTATAGTGGGAGCAAAAGGGACAATTCTAAATCCTACACCAGCCAATTACAAATGTTGATGGTTAAGATAATTTGTGAAAAGTAAACCACAAAATGACCTATAAACACATGATAAACAGATGAATCAGGAAAGAAGACTTAGTATTTCTAATATATATATATATATATGTGTGTACATATATATATATTTAAAGATTTTATTTGAGAGAGAGAGAACACGAGCAGGAGGAGGTACAGAGGGAGAGGGAGAAGCAGACTCCCCGCTGAGCAAGGAGCCCGACTGGGGCTCGATCCCAGGATCCTGAGATCATGACCTGAGGTGAAGGCAGACACTTAACCGAATGAGCCACCCAGGTGCCCCAAAGACTTAGTATTTCTTTACAAATCACTGTCAACCATTCACTGATCTAGGATATGCTCAGTATCTGAAATTTCAAGGGAAAAAACTTCCAACCCTAAACAAAAAAACCCTGAAATTTCTAAAATATTAGACCAAAAAAAAAATTATTCATGCCAATATCTGGGTGCTGAATTTGGCATAAGCATCTCTAAAATGCCAAGTTCATGAGCTGCAAGAGCACTGGCCCAGGGTCCTGAATAACCTCCCTAAGTACCCAGAGGCCACTCCCCTTCCAATCATAAGAAACAACTTGAATACAAGTCCACAGAGGAAGCTAGAAGAGAGCAAGGTTGCCAACAGCACACTAACGTGGCAATGTGAGGGGAATGAGTTACCCCAGCCTAGCCTACTACCAGCCCCAATCCATATTAATCCCCTACCACCAAAAACCTTCTCTTTAGATCCCCTCATCTACATGACTATTTCAGGTTGGCATTTTCCTTTCTGGGAATTGGAGTTCAGCCAAACCAAGATGACAGGCATAAGAAGGAAACCTAGAAACAAAAGCAAGAAAAACACATCAGCCATGAAAACCACAAACTGCTGTCCCAAGGAAGGCCCCTTGTTCTCATCTTAAACAGAAGGCAATACTCCAATCAGGAGGGAGTAGGGGCGGGGCTTCCACTGATGCCAAACAAACATTAAGGGAGTCAGACTATTGCAGATTATTCCAATGGACTGTTAAATCCATTCCAAGTCATTCATGTTACAGAAAAGAGAAGAAATTTGCCGAAGGTCACACAGTTTGGCCAGACCTGGGTAAGAACCCATCTGTTTTTTTCTGCACCAGACCATAAGTCCTTCTAATGCCCAACAACTGCCAAATACTGATGTCCAGCCCTGGCTCTCCCCAAAGCTCCAGAGCCATATTTCCTACCATCTCTTTGACACCTCCTCTTGGCTATCCCAAAAGCTCAAATCCCAACATCCAACACTGAACTCATGATCTTTCCCTAATACTCTCAATGCCAGTTTTTCATCCAGGGCTTCTTAGCTTACCAGATGATATCACCATCTATCTGGTTCCTGAGCCAGACTAAGAAAACATGTCCTGTGTTTGAACTCCAGCCCTATCACTTCCTAGCTGTGACTCTGGGTAAATTAAATAAGGTCTTTAAACCTCAGGTTTTGTCATCTAATAAATGGGACACCCAGGAGTCCAAGATGGCTTCATCCATACCAGTGAAGCAGAAGCAGCTCATGGCAAACTAGAAGAGCTACCAAAACGGATACTGATGTGGGATTTCACCCCTAAAGGTGCTGCTGGAGCATTTCAAAGAGGTTACTACCAACCAGTATTATAAACAAGTATGTCAATGTGAAGAAAGCGGGGGCATCGCTGGGATTTCTATGGTGCCGGCAGCTTACGTGCTTTTCAACTACTGTCATTGTTACAAGGACCACTGAAGACAGCCCAGTGTGGAGGCACATTCTGCATTCCTGACCATGACCTTTGCCTGGCACCGTTGAATCCTTTCATATCCTAACTGAGAATTAACATCCAATAAAAGATGACTGGTACATGGAAAAAAATGAGATAACAGGAATTACCTCATAACACAGCGGCGAGCACTGAAGAAGATGATGTGTAAAAAATGCTAAGCACTAGAAAACAGACTATTTTCTAGTCCTGTAAGTGCAGTGCCCTCTATCTTCTTGCCTACTTCCCCCATTCCCATCCCTTGACCTGGTTAACACCTATGAATCCTTCTCATTTCAACTCAAATGTGACACCCCACTAAAAGCCTTCCTTGATTGCCCCCTACCAGCTAAGGGTAGGTCATAACTGTGCCCCCACACGTTGTTTTTCATCCTCAAAGCAGTGTAATTTCCATTCACAACACATAATGACATATTTACTGTGCAATGGTTTGATTATTGGCCACTTCCCCCAATTGCGTATAAGCTCAATGAGGGCAGGGACTAGAAGTGTTAAACCTCATTTTTGTATCCTCAACACAGTACATGGCACTTAATAGGTGTTTAGTAAACATCAGTTGAATGAAGTGTCCACGAAGCATGTCTACCAGCAGGAAACATGGACCCAGAGATTTGAAGAGAAGTCATAGGACATGAATCCAAGTACAAACCCAAGGCATCCCATCCAGAGGACTAGGTAGAAAGGGTCTGGTAAGCCCTACCTGACCACTGCAAAGTTCATGATTTACTGCTTGTTTGACCACTATTCTAACAATTCAGGATTAGGTCTCCATGGCACTAAGATATACTCTGTACACACATGCACAGCCACATCCTGGAGAATTTTCTAGATGAATCCCAGTCCCCCCTACACCTTTCTTAACATAACCATCATTCCCACAGTGGGTGTGATTCTTGTGTTTAAAGACACATATTTTTATAACACAGGCCCTCTCACAATGCAGCCAACTACTACATCTGGGGCTCAGCTAAATAAAGAGTTCTTTGTTCCAACTTGGGGGTGAAAGTGAGCTCTACTGGACAGAGGAGAGAATGGCATCTTGGCTCTCCAATATGGTACCAGTAAGGGATCATCAGGAATATTTTTTACTACACCCAAAGTCAGTTTATGTAGCAACTCCAGAATCTAGCCTCCCTATAATATAGAACTCTAATGTATAGTAAAATATTTTAAAGTGCAGATTTTGACACTGGGCAGACCTGGCTTCAAATTCTGGTTCTGCCACTTACTAGTTATGAATAAAACCTTAGACCTCTCTTGGCCACAGTTAACTCATCTACACTAGTAGATAAAACAGTACCTAGATCTTACAGTTGTAGGAAGCATTAAATATAAATACACAGCATATGGCTAAATTATTATCCTTAAGAAAGTTCTTTGTACACAGACTACCACCTTAGAAGATAAAGTTCTGTCCATAACACAGTTCTGGGCCTAACAGATTGCCCCATTCCCAGAGGGTAGTCACTGAACACCATGATCTGTCCTTAGCCTTTGTCTATTCTGTTTGAGACTAGCAGCCCAATTCTTTATAGGAATATCTGACACTACCCTTCTATTCTGAGTAGAACTGCCACTGCATAAGTGATCCTTCTTCCTAAGTTGGATAACCAAAATGTCATACAAACCACTCAACTTCCTCTTGTCTTTAGGGTCAAACAGTACACCCAGTTTTTTCATAATTCCTCTCATGTAGACACACACACACCAGCAAGCACACACCCTTTTTTGAGAATATGACTTCCCCAGCATAGGATTCAGAGACACTACACAAGATAACAGTTGCAGACATGAAAATAATAACAGTTCTTTATCCAAAAGACAACACTGGAGAAAGGGAAGCTGAAATTTTCTAAGCCAGGAGAAATGGAGACATCACTTGTTCGTCTGTCATAATATTCCTTTTATATCTATTACATATAAGAAACAGCAGTTACTGCCACATGTAAAATAACTGTTCTCCAAACAGCAGGGACTAGGCCCTGAGACAGAATGCAGAAGAACTACCTCCGCCTTCCAAAAGCTTGCAATGTGACTGGAGGCACAAAACAAAGTGCAACAGCTAAGTATGCACTGAATGAATAATAATAAAGAATAAGGCAGAAATAAGATAGGCTATTTTGGAAAAAAATAAAGCACGCCTGAAAGAGGTGCCTAATGATGTAGGTGGAAGGGCGTTTTAGACATACAAAAGACCAAGAACCAGCTTGGATTAGTCTAGAGACACTGAGAAAGGGTAGAAACACACATTACAAAAAAGATGTAGGAGAACAGGGGCATCTGGCTGGCTCAGTCAGTAGGTCATGAGACTCTGGATCTTGGGGTCATGAGTTCAACCCCATATTGGGGGTAGAACTTAACTTAAAAAAAAAAGATTTATGAAAATATATAAGCAACAGAACAAGAAGTGCAATATTTGCATAAGGGGGCAGTGTTAAATCTCCCTTACAAAAAAAAAAAAAAAAAATGAGGGCCCATCAAAAATTCATGTCCCCAAAGTCTCCCACTGGCATAGCCCCACAACATCACTTACCCGAATAAGGGAAGCCTGATGCCGAGGGGGCTTGGCTCCTGGGGCCCCCGACGAGGGTCCTTCAGGCTGGACAAGGGGCTGTCTAGCTTCGTAAGGAGCTGAAAAAGCAGGAGGAAAAGTCAGCACAGTACAAAAAGATTCCACCCAAAAATTATGACTTCACACTCAAACTGAGAGTGTCTGTTCTTCAGAGAAGAATTAGCAAAGGAATTAGAATTTATGTACATAGGGCCACCTTGCACAAACCAACCTTGGGTACAATTTAGGGAAGCAATCTAAAGACATTCAACTGATTCATGAAAAGACAGGAAAATATTTACATCAAGTTGAGATTAGGAATAAATTAGAAGGGCGGAATTGTTAAGAATCTAAACTGCAATTGAAAGCAATAATAAGAGTCAGAAAAGTGCCATGTTATAAATGCTCAAATTCTAAATATCAGGTAAATTCTATATATACCCGCTGGTTTAAAAGTCTTGCATTCATCATCCATCTTCCAAAGCAGCAAGAAAATAAATATGCATTTTGAACACTAAGAATCAACATTATCATTCATTTTTCAAAAATAAATGGTACAGTCTTCTTTTCCTTATTGGAAAGAATGTAAAACCAAGGAGAGAAAAGTACAAAAAGGAATAAATGTATTTTATATTTATTATTTTATCTTTCAATAACCAAACAAAAAATAATTTTGCTGACTTTGAGAAAAGTTCTTATGCCACAAAAACAAATGTATTTTTTTATTTCTTTTATTTCCAGAACACTTCATAATGATCTTGTCAATATGATAGGAAAACAGATAAACATAACCAGGTAGTATTCAGGGCTAACAGAAAGGAGAAATTATCACCCATGATGAAACCATTTTTGATTAACATTTCTGGTTAACAATTCAAGTTTTTGGAAGTATATCAAGAAGAAAAATGCTGGAGCCCCTGGGTGGCTCAGTCAGTTAAGCATCTGACTTCTGCTCAGGTCATGATCTCAGGATCCTGGGATCGAGCTCCGCATTAGGTTCCCTGCTCAGCGGGGAGTCTGCTTGTCCCTTTCCCCCTCTCTACCCCTCCCCCCCGATTCGTGCTCTCGCTCTCTCTCAAATAATTAAATAAAATCTTTAAAAAAAGAAGTAAAATGCTTTCTTTCTACAGCTTCCTTATAAATAAAATTAGGTAGAGAGAGCAGGGCAGCCTGTTATGGCAGCGCCCTTAGCATACTTTGATCATTTGAAAAGAAAGGAGGTGTAAGAACAGCAAACCACTCTTGGGCTCACATCTGCTTTTTATATTTCCTCCAAGGGACTGGAACACAACATTATAACACATTTAAAATACATTAGAACATCAAAAATCATTACCTAGCAAAGCATTAAGTAGATTTTCAGACCCTGCTAAGAATAAATAAAAATATATAAACTGCAAAAGACACAAACCGGAGAACACATAATCCAAATCTTAGAAGATAAGTCTCAGGGGCGCTTGGGTGGCTCAGTCATTAAGCGTCTGCCTTCAGCTCAGGTCATGATCCCAGGGTCCTGGGCTCGAGCCCCGCATCGGGCTCCCTGCTCCACGGGAAGCCTGC